CTTTTGGGATGATGACAGATGGAGTGACGGAGCTCTTCAGCAGCAAGTCGCATCTGATGTGAGCTTTGGATATTAATTTTCTTTTTTAATTTTGTGAATGTTTTCAGGCGGGAGCTACTTCCATGTGGGCTTCCTGCTGTGGTCTGCTGAATGAGGTGATGGGGACGGGCGCTGTCCGTGGCCAGCAGGCTGCCTTTGGGGGAGGCGCTGGCCCATTCCGATTTGCACCAAACACAGACTTCTCAGCGTACCCATCTCCAGCTGCGGCGGGCGCTAACATAGTTTGCAAAGCCTGTGGACTTTCCTTTTCGGTTTTTAGGAAAAAAGTGAGTATATTTCCTATTCCATAGTATTTTTACTTGTGTAACTAACGCGTAGGCATGCTGAGAGATGAATGTGTATTTTTCCTTAGAAAAAAGACCCGAGGCAGATAGCCAGCGAGGGAGTAAGTGCCTTGTTCTGAGGTCACAGGAAATTAATGTCAGACAGGATTAGAAGTGAAGAGGTCTGGTGTTCATTAATCGGTGACACATCGGAGCTGGCCTGAGCTAAAAATTAGTGGATTTGCATTTGTAAGATACGTGTTTTAGCTTCAGAATCTTAAACCAAATCTGGTTTTGAAGATGATACCAAATGTGTAGTAGTTGAGTACTGGAATGAACAAACTGGGTAATCGCAAAGCTCAAAACTTGCCATACGGTATCACAACTTCTTTCTGTGAAATACCAGTGTAATTACTTTTGTTTCCTAAACAGGTTTAGTTCTGTTAGATGCTACTGAACTCCAACAGCCCCATGCTTCATTTGAAGGCAGGTTGGTGGGTTAATGCAGATACATAAAATGGAGATTGTTAATATTATTTCTATCTACTACGACTGTCCAGCATCATTATTTTGTCCACTCTGTGACCTAATTCTCTGCAGCTCTTTTAGATAAACATGAAGCCTCTTTCCTCAGCTTGTGTTCGGTTTCCCTCTTCCCATGTGTCTTCTTGTTCGCATGACAAACACTTTGTTGAATTAAGCATTGTGTGGGGATGTTTTCTGAAGCCAGTATCAATTTACTAAAATCCTGACAAACTTGACGAGTTTGGATTTGTTCACAGCGGATGAGCTGACCATTTAAAATCACTGCTGAAAGTCTTGCCTGTTCTGGCTGCTGTGCATTGTAGTGAGGCTTTTGAACACAGCTCCCTTCAGAAGTGGTACCTGGGCACTGGGGAGGATTTACCTACCCTGTGGTTCATCGCATTTAAAGCCTACTTTTAAACCTTTGAATCGGAGGAGGAAGAAGTATGTTCGTTACAGCTTGGGGATTATACTGCTTTTTATACATGTGAAAAGAGCAGTGACATTTTGTGTATTGGAAAGTATTTTAACATACCATAAAATTGCCTGGCTTTCAAGTTTGTTTATTGTCTAAACTACAACTTGAGTACTTTATTCATTTGCTTATTCATAGTGGTTTTTCTATTGGAACCTCAAATCTGCTTACAGTAGTGTTAAAAAAAAAGATGGGCTGCCTTGGAACACCTGCAAAGCTAGTGGACAGGGCAGTTTTCTAGGCTTAACTTCTAAAAACGATGTATGTCCAAATTGACGATGGAGAGACTAATAGGAAATTGCATTGCCTGGAGAAGGAAGGAGCAGGGTCTGGATATGTTTCTGTGATGTGCAGCTGAAGAGTTATTTTCTCTTGCTCCTTAGCACGTGTGTTGTGACTGCAAGAAGGACTTTTGCTCAGTTTGCTCAGTCTCACAAGAGAATCTCAGAAGATGCTCCACTTGCCACTTGCTGCAAGAAACGGCCTTCCAGCGGCCCCAGTTAATGAGACTGAAAGTGAAGGATCTGCGTCAGTACCTGATTCTCAGAAACATCCCAACAGATACCTGCAGAGAGAAGGAAGACCTGGTGGACCTCGTGCTGTGCCATCACGGGTTGGGTCCGGAGGAGGACATGGACGCTGGCAGCTTGCATTCAGCACGCTCACAGACTTCGGGGTTTTTCACTCATCCGTTTTCTATGTCTGTATCGGTGTCGTCGCAAGGAGAACTCGCAAACAGACGGGGGAGCACAGGAAGTGGAACACCATTACGGGTACAATAATTAACGTGTGGTTTATGGTGTAACATAGCTTTTTTTTTTTAATAGGTATGCATCACTTTAAAATAAAATGCCAATTGGTACAGTTTGGGGTGGCAGGAAAAATGCCTTTTGCATCTGTCACCTGAAACCAGAAAGTTACTATCTCGTAGGTAAGATTACTCATTTAGATGATAGAGGTGACTTACATCAATGAGGATTAGTAGGCATTAAAACTCCACGTCATCCTCATCTGTAATCACTTTGGTACAAAGAAAGATATTTTATAAGGTGTAATGCGTTTTTATCCTGATTAATTTCATTTTGTGCACAGGGACAAATGGAAACACCTTCTATAAATAACGAAGAAGAAGAAAGTGCAGAGGAGCAGGTGAGATATGAACTATCCAAAGAGCGAATCTTGGCATGTGACACCATGGAGTGTTCAGATCTGTCAGCGTTTGCTGTCATGCTGTAGTTCTTGCCGAGCCAGCTGTGTCTGGCAGTGCAGAGCTGCACACGCTTGCTTTAAAAAGAGCAAAACTCCAGCAACCTGCTGCAGCTCAATGCAGTGTCTAATCTGGTCTCTGAACTTAGCAGGACAGTTAAAAACATGCAATTGATGTGTTTCAGACCCCTGGATTGTCCAGAAAGCGAGTGAGGGCATCGTTGTCCGATATTTCAAGTCTGGAAGACATTGAAGGGTTGAGCGTTCGGCAACTGAAGGAAATACTTGCCTGTAATTTTGTCAACTACTCAGGATGCTGTGAAAAATGGGAACTTGTGGAAAAAGTGAGCAGACTTTACAGAGAGAGTGAGGAGAACCACAAGACACGTAGGTTTCTATTTAATTCTCACTTTTTTAAAGACTGTCTATTTTCTGGTTCCCAGTATCTAATTCTGCCAAGAGAAGGACTTACTTGGTATCTAACTTGGTCTGCTCAGCTGGAACAACTGGAAAGTGGTGTGCTTCTAGAGTAGCTGAACGCAGGTCTAGTGAGTAAATGAAGCTTTCCAGCAGTGGGCTGCTTTTTTGAGATGTTTTTGCAAAGGTTGGAGAGCTCAGCTGTCACAGTGAAGGTAAAATTGCACAACTGAGAACCTGTTCCTCAGAGAACGTGAAACTTGGCACCTCCGCATCCTTTCTTAGGTTTCACAAGGCATTAGTGAGAGCTTCGCAGTGGCTGTCAACAGACTGAAGCAGTTCAGGTCTTCTACTGTGGTGCAGAACTAAAAGCCAGTGGCAACAGCCCCAGTGCAGGTGGTTTGGGACTGGGTCCGTGTTTGCATGCTGAGGTGGTTCTGTGGCTGCAGCTCAGTGGCCAGCGCTCTCACTCTCTGTTACGCTCAGCAGTTGAGTCTTTCACTTGGTGACAGCAGCGTGGCCACTGGCTGGTTCCTGGTCACAAAGAACCAGCTGAGGAATGACTTTTGGTGTCAGTAACAGCTTGAAAAGTGCCTGCCTGGCTTGTCGTTCCTATAAGGAACAGGAGACCGTGGGAGCCAGAAAACTCGATGTGCTTGCCCCGGGCCACTGCACAGCCAGGCTGTGCCAGCACAGGCACTGCAGGGATGCTGATAATCAGGTGTGAAATCATCAGCTCATTCCAGGGGCTGTTAGACCAGGGCTGAAGTGAGACCCTCAGGTTGGTCATAAATAGGATTGAAAAAAAAACCAAAAACCTGTCAAAATCAAGCTTTAAACTTTAGGATTATTCTGTTTTCTTTCAGTGTGCTATGATGGAACATTCAGTTATTGATAGGGGATGTTGTCCATTTGCAATGAAACTTGACAGCTTTGCTCAGTTCTGCCGTCTTTATGGGGGCCTAAAGGCTTCCACTGCATACCCTGCTCTGTTATTACTGTGTTTAATCTTCTGAGCAAGGTGTTCTGCCAAACCAAGTAAGCTCAGACACGGAAAACCACCATGCTCTAAATTTTAATCCAGCTCCGTTATTTCAGTTGTCAGGTTCTGAACTGAAAATGGTCTCTGAGTTTAAAGAATGAAGCCCAGTATTGGATGTTCACTTAAGGCCTTTCTAGTTCTTGTTTCTTTGTGGTTTGGTTTGGGGTTTGTTGTTTTTTTTTTGAAGCAATATGGATTCTTACTGTGGGTTAGAAAAAACCTGTTGTGAACATGGAGCAGCAGTACTCCGTGCTAAGTTAGCTGTGTTACTCTACTGGTTGCCTGGGCTAGACCTGAACTGGTTTTCTAGGGCCTGCATGCGTGACCTCCCTCTCTGTTGGGTTTCAGAGGGCGAGAAGATGCAGCTGAATGACAACGACGACAACCTGTGCCGGATCTGCATGGATGCCGTCATCGACTGCGTCCTGCTGGAGTGTGGCCACATGGTGACATGCACCAAGTGCGGCAAGAGGATGAGCGAGTGCCCCATCTGCCGCCAGTACGTTGTGCGGGCCGTGCACGTCTTCAAATCTTAACCACCACCAAACCAGGATTTTGTAGCCACCCTGCGGGAGTGCCAAACCTCGGGGTGCATACGGCAGATTTCGGTTCTCAATACAACACAGCATTTTGAACACTGGGACTGAGATGTTTGTGAAACATTTTTCTACAACCCACTGAAGCCCTGGCTGGACGGTGCACAGGGCTGGCTGTACAGTAACAGCACCGCCTGACTTACCTTAACCCCACGGACTGTGTGAGTCCAACTGTTTACAGCAGTTCTTGCTCTCTTCTGAAGAATATTGCCTCCAATTACCGCATACAGCACGTGGTCAGAAAAACACTTCTGCCCGACCACATTAGCGTGCTACCTTGTCTAGTGCATTAGAAGCAACAAATATAGCGGTTGAATATTCAGCTTTTATGTAATTATAGAATGTAACTGTTCTGACGCTGTCCCTGTGCCAGTGTTGACAGTATAAAACGCGACTGTAGAACGCACTGCCATTAACTGTACCTGCACAGGTGCCCATACGTGCTCCTTTACCCCCACTGCTCTGTTCTGAATGTCCACTGTTACACGTGTGCCGTGTCTGGGCCATTCTCCGTGTATGTACAGGAAGCTGTGTCACCACGCAGGGCTCAGCTGTGATGTCCAAATACCGATTACCGAGTGTTTTTTAGTTTAGGAATAAACTTATTTTTTTAAAAAGGGGTATAGGAAACCATACTAATCCACTCATGCCTATTGTAACTACTACTCCTACCTGTGATGATTGTATGCCATGTGCCGACAACTTGATGTTACTGTGAATATTAATGAGGGTCATGGAACTAATTAATTGCTGCTAACCTGGAATGTACGGTGTTAACCCACCTTAAAGGGAGGGGCTCAGTAAGGACACGGAAACATGGGATTTGTTTAAACCCTCACATTCACAGACTTTTAACCAAGGCTGTGTCACAGTGACCCACGCTGTCCCCAGCTGCTGACTGACCGCGTTGCTGCCAACCTGTGGCACTTCTGGCCGGGCTCTGTGCAAGGCCCTCCAGG